TAAATAAGCGGTCTAATAATTCAGGGGGGCTAATAATTCTGACCAACTGTGTGTATATATATATATATATATATATATATATATATATATATATATATAGATATATATATAGATATATATATAGATAAATACTGTATAATATATATACACTACAGTATACAGTATTTATAAATATAAATACTGTATAAATATGTAAATATATATATATATATATATATATAGAGAGAGAGAGAGAGAGAATATATATATATATATATATACATACATATATATACATACATACATATATATATATATATATATATATATATATATATATATATATATATATATATATATATGCAAAATAAGTTTTGTGAAATTAGGATGACAGATGATTTCACAAAACAAAACTCATTTCGCCTCCATCATCAATCTCGCAGGTAACTAAATAAACGAAATCATTACTGTTGTGTTGAGAAACTCCTTATGCTTTATCTCCATTTTTTTAAAACAAAAAATACATTCTAGATCATGATTTTTCTCCTTAACCTACTTTAATGTCCATGTGAAATCAAAATGATAGTTTTTAAGACTTTGGTTTTGTGTTTATGATTCAATTTATTGCATGTTTGGCAGCTCCTGTCTATCTTCATGGAATGAGTGTGAGTCTGAGCTACAATGAGTAAGTGCTACACATTTCCAGTGTGAATAAACTCGAAAGTATGGAGCATATGAAACCCACTGCCTATAAGTGTTTCATAAGTTTTAATCCAGAGCAACACAAACAGAATGCAGAAGTATAAATGCATGGCTACGTCATCCTTAATCATTCAACATCTAAGTGTGGATAGGAGTCACGTTGTAAAACATCTGAAATGTTGTTTTACTCATTTCTCAAACGTCTAAGCCAAAGTCTGTCATCATTGTGGTTCAGTATTATCATTTTATTGTTAATACCTCCAGTCTTGAGCATCTGCGCTCCCAAAGAACATCTCATGCCTCCGAAAGCCACCGCGTTGTGTTCATAGCGTTTCGTCTACTGAGTTGTTAGCTGGTAGACGGAAAGATGGGGGACGAGATCTGCTTTGGCTCAAGGTTTCCGTCAGGCGAACCACTCTGACCGCTGCTCTGAGGACGTTCAGACGAGGCCTGATGATATCCAGGAAGTGACAGTGACAGATCAGCTGACACACACTTTCTGTAGAGAATAATTGAAACAAAGCAGATTCTCATTAGTTAAAGACTGACGACTTGCATTTGACTTTTATTAGAGTTGTTTTGATAGAGACTGAAATACTGTGGAAGTTGTTTACAACTAAGTGTAGATTTCAAAAACCTCTTCTATGATGCTTAAATCTTAAAAACTGTAGTTCAGGGTTTCACAGCAGGAGTCTTTTATATGTATAGTAAGAATATGTATAGTAGTCGGCGCCTGTGGTGTAGTGGTTAGTGCGTCGACACATGCATTCCGGTGCTCGTGGCGGCCCGAGTTTGATTCCGCCTTGTGGTCCTATGCCAATCCTTCCCCTCTCTCTGCTCCCCACACTTTCCTGTCAATTCTCTCTACTGTCCTATCCAAATAAAGGTGAAAACCCTGAAAAATAATTATATATATATATATAAAAAAAGAATATGTAAAGTAACTACAGAAAATTTAAAACATTTCAATTTACATTTAAAACTATCACTTGATTGATTATAGACCTTTTTCATGAAAGCAGTTCTTTACGTCAGTGTTCAATGCGACAGTCTCATAACCTTGGCCGTAGCCTGACGTAAACCCTGAAGCGCACCTCTCAGAAAATGCAACTACCCGTAGCAGCGATTAATAACTCAAGAGCTGTGATTCGTCAGTTTGGTATCGTTCACAAGTGTGGGCGGAGTCATATAGGAGGAGCGACCTCGGTGGCGCGAGTCTTTAAGAAGTGTCCCTTGCTGGAGCTCCAGATGGATTCTATTATTGTGTTTACTTTATGATTATAGTTGTTGCGCGTCTCGGTTCTTGCCTCCTTCTTCCTTGAAAGGGTGCAAGCTTGAGCTACTTCTACAGTAAGTTAGCATTACAGTGTATTTAAAAAACCTGCAATGAAACTCAAGACGTGAGATTGACAAGCGGATCGGTGCAGCAGTAATGCGGTGGATGTATCGGTCCGTTGTGGTAAAAAAGGAGCTGAGCCGAAAGAAAAAGCTCTCAATTTACCGGTCAGTCTACATTCTTACTCTCACCGATGGTCATGAGCTTTAGGTCATAGCCGAAAGGACAAGATACAAGTGGCCGAAATGAGTTTCCTTCACAGGGTGGCAGGCAGCACCCTTATAGATAGGGTGAGGAGTTCTGTCACCTGGGAGGAGCTCAGAGTAGAGTCGCTGTTCATCCTCATCTAGTGAAGGGAAGAGGGAAGTCTGGGGTTCTCTCCTAAAGCCTGGTTTATACTTCTGCGTCAAGTGACCGGCGTAACCCACGGCGCATGCACCGGGCATAGCTGTGCATTTATACTTGTGCGCGCTGTAACTGTTGGTCTGCATTAACACTTCTGAAACGCTAGTTGGCAGTGAGGTGTTAATGTTCCTCTGTGTCGAGTTTCTTCACTGCTGTTGTGTTTTTTCTGAATGTACAAGTGGTTCAAACTCGCTCATTTTGAGGCAGGAACCGGCGGACGTGCAACAACTTTAACTATGAGGTAAACACAAAACAAAACTTTCCATCCGGAGCTCCTTCACAGGACTCCACACTTGTAAACACTTGCTCCATCGGGCTCTGTCCCACCCTGACTCGTCAGAGCTAACAAGCTCACCAATCACAGAGCTTGCGTTACGCGTCTGTGCGACGTGTAGTTACATTTTTTGAGAGGTGCACGTCAGCAACGCCGACGGCCACGGCGTAGGGCTATGCGTTAACACGTAGGCTGCGCTGTAGCATACATGTGCGCTTGACGCAGAAGTATAAATCAGCCTTAAGACGTCTGCCCCCATGACCCAGCCTCGGAAAAGGAGATGAAAGTGAATGAATGAAACTAAAGACAGAGGAACATAGAAACCCCACTGCCTGATAGCATTTCAGAAGTGATAATGTCAGCAACACAAACAGAATGCATCAATATCATCAGCCTGCGCTGTGGGTTTCTCGGCACTCACTCGACGCATCAAGATGGTAATGACTCATTTAAATGGTCATATCAGCATCTTAAATCCTACAAAGTTTTTAAACTTAAGATGCATTCATTCATTTTTAAGCACTTTTCCAGGGCCGGGTCGTGGGGGCAGTAGTTTTAGGAGAGAATCCCATACTTCTCTCTCCCCAGATACTTCTTCCAGCTCCTCCGAGGGGATCCCAAGGCGTTCCTAGGCCGGCAAAGGGACATAGTCCCTCCAGAGTTTCCTAGGTCTTCCCCCAAGGTAGAGGTCTGCATTAATTGGAATAAATTTCCAAATAAATCGCGGGAGCGGTCGGTAACAGGTTTAATTTGGGACGGGAGCGGGCTGTCTAGCAATATCGCGGATACTGCTATGCGAATGAGAGAGAGCTTTGCCTATGTGTGTGCTTGGTGCTTGTGTGTGTGTATGTATGTGAGCGAGAGCTTTCCCAGATAGCAAAATACACTCGGGCCAGTTCCAGCTAGATTCTCGCCGGCCGGAGACTTACCACTCGGCCCGGCTCCAATCAATCGGGCCAGATGCGGCGGCCGTAAGCGAGCCGATGCTGCCGCATCCGCGCCAGAATCGGCCCAAGAGTAATGTGCGCTGCGGCCCGGAGCTAGCGGGACTCAGTATTTATATACCTTTATATAAAACCTTTTGGTATTACATTGGTACTTGATACATGGTATTACAACCCTTTGAGTTGATATAACAGCAAACGCCTGTGTGTCTGCTTGGTGCTTGTGTGTGTGTTAGAGCGCACGCGCGCGTATGAGAGAGAGAGAGCTTTGTCTGTGTGTGTGTGCTTGGTGCTGTGTGTGTTTATACAGACAGCTTGGCTGTCTGGACTGTATAGCTGGGTGATTTTCGGTTTTGTTCTCCCCCGCTCTTTAGCGGGATCGGGCGCGGCGGCCAGAAAACGGGGCGGGGCGGGCAGCGGGACAACAAATTCTTAATATAAGCAGGAGTGGTCAGGTTCGGGCTAAAACCTGGCGGGAGCAGGCGGGAGCGGGATTCAAAATTTAGTCCCGTGCAGATCTCTACCCCAAGGCCTCCTCCCGGTGGGGAATGCCTGGAACACCTCACTAGGTAGGCGTCGAGGAGGCATCCGAAACAGATGCCCGAGCCACCTCAGCTGACTTCTCTCGATGTGGAGGAGCAGCGGCTCTACTCCGAGCTCCTCCCGGGTAACAGAGCTGCTCAGTCTATCTTTAAGGGTGGGCCCTGCCATCCTGCGAAGGAAACTCATTTAGACCGCTTGTATCCGAGATCTTGTCTTTTCGATCATGATCCAAAGCTCATGACCATAGGTGAGAGTAGGAAAGTAGATTGACCGGTAAATCGAGAGCTTTGCCTTTCGGCTCAGCTCCTTCTTTACCACAACAGATTGTTGTGTGAGCAAATTCATTTTCCTTCAGTCTAGTCCCTCATTTTTTAGGGGTCACCACAGCTAAATGAACCAACAACTACTCCAGTATACGTTTTATGCAGTGGATGCCCTTCCAGTTGCAACCCATTACTGGGAAACACCCATCACCCCATTCACCTATAGCGCATGTGTTTGGACTGTGGGGGAAACTAGAGCCCCCGGAGGAAACCCATGTGAACATGCATGCAAACTCCACACAGAAATGCTAACCGACCCAATTGAGACTCAAACTAGTGGCCTTCTTGCTGTGAGGCGACAGTGCTATCCACTAAACCATCGTGCCACCTGTTTTAGCAAATTGCAATGCAAAAAATAATATATGTGTGGTACTCTCCCATTCACTGCCTATTAAGTTTACCCAACTATGACAGCTTGTGATGTGAAACGGGTTCAATCGTAGAAGGTACATGCTTAGTCTTTGGATACCCACCCCTGTTCTCTAGAGTGGCGCTTCATGTGATGGCTGAGGTTGGCTCGCTGCTTGTAACTCTTTCCACACTGGCCACATTTATACGGCTTCTCTCCGGTGTGAGTCCTGATGTGAGAATCAAGGTAGCTTTTACATTTAAAGTTTTTACCACACTGTGTGCAAATGTAAGGCTTCTCTCTAGTGTGAATGCCCATGTGGTTTTGAAGGGCTTGTATTTGAGTGAAACTATTCCCACACTGTTGGCAGGCGAAAGGCTTCTCCCCTGTGTGAATTCTGATGTGGAGTTTAAGGTGCTGCTTTTGCCTGAAACTCTTTCCACACTCGGGACACGTGTACGGCCTCTCTCTGGTGTGGACTCTCATGTGGACTTTAATTTTCGATTTTTGAGTGAAACTCTTTCCACACTGATCGCACGAGAAAGGCTTCTCTCCGGTGTGAATTCTCATGTGGGCTTCAAGGTTGTGCTTAAGAGTAAAGCTTTTCCCACATTGACAGCAGGTAAAATCATCGTTAGATTTGGTTTTCTGAGCTCTTTTATGTGGTGAAGTCGTCTCAGTGGATTTCTCATCAGTCAATACATCTTGGTGTTTCTCAAACTGATTCTCTTCCAGTTCATTGAGGTCTTCGGTCTCTTCTTTCAGCACCATCAGCTCTAAAGAGAAAAAAAAATACAAGTTAAGCCCAAACTTAATGGCGCAAAGCAACACACTTGTATTGGTGCAATTACAAATTGTGAAGCTGGATAACTACATTACCCTCTATGCTAAAAAACAAAACTCAGATGGGCTGCTGGTGGCTGGGATGCACAAGAAAAGAAACCAAAAAGCCATTCTGGCGACATCCTTACGTCTTTTTATATTTTTCAAAATCTTTTCACTTGCAGCACGGTGGCGCAGTGAGTAGCACAATCACCTCACAGCAAGAAGGTCGCTGGTTCGTGCCCCGACTGGGTCAGTTGGCATGTCTATGTGGAGTTTGCATGTGCTCCCCATGCTCCCGTGGGTTTTCTTCAGGTGCTCCGGTTTCCATTAGTGTGTGTGTGTTTGAATGACAGTGTATGGAGGTTTCTCAGTGATGGGTTGCATCCACTGCGTAAAACATGTGCTGGATAAGTTGGTGGTTCATTCCGCTGTGGCGACCCCAGATTAATAAAGGGACTAAGAGGAAAGGAAAATGAATGAATCTCCTCACTAGGGCTAGTCGCGGCACTTATTTTCACGTGTGTTGTTTTGACCTGAGGTGGCGATGATGCAACTCGACCCGAATCTGTTCACGTTGCATCAAGCACGTGAAAATAGTTCACCATGTTCAATTCGCTTTGCGCTCATGCTCCCTGGCATCTTTCGTAACCATCAACCGTTTTCTCAGAGAATGACAAACCATTGCAATAGCTCTGATACAAGTTTTATTCATGGAAAAAGTTAAAAAGCACTGCAGTGTTTGGGTGCGCTGTGTTTGTCTGAGGTAATTAGTCTGCCATTATTACCGAAGCATATATATTCTTTACAAAGTGTGAAGCAGAGTGCTTAGTTCTAGATACATGAATCACGGAGGGCAAGTGGTATTCTGAAATGGTCAAATGTTTTTCAAGTAGGTGCACCTGGAAATTGTGAGCGCATCACGTGCGTTCAGCTTGTACACCCTGTGCGCATCGCTCCCTATATGTGCATGCAAGCTGTGTGCCTTGATTGGAAATAATGTAAGTAAATATACAGTTGAAACCAGAAGTTTTTAAAAACTGTCTGATGGTAAATCATACTAAATGTTTACTATTTTAGGTCTGTTAGTATTACCTAAATGATTTACATTTGCTAAATGCCAGAATAATGAGAGAACTTTTTGGAGGATAATTTTTTTTTATTAATTTCTAGGCAGTCAAAAGTTTACACTCATTTCCTTGGTATTTTTGTAGCTTTGCTTTTAAACTGTATAACTTTGGTCAAATGGTTCGGGTATCCTTCCACAAGCTTCTCACAAGAGTTTGAAGGAATTTCGGCCCATTCCTCCGGACAGAATTGGTGTAACTGAGTCAGATTTGTAGGCTGTCTTGCTCGCACAAGCTTTTTCAACTCTGCCCACAAATTTTCTATAGGATTGAGGTCAGGGCTTTGTGATGGCCACTCCAAAACATTCGCTCTGTTGTCCTTAAAGCACATTTAAGCTGATTTGGCAGTATGCTTAGGGTCGTGGTCTGTTTGGAAGACCCATTTGTGGCCAAATTTAAAATTTCTGGCTGATGTTGCTTCAGTATTTCAACATAATATTCTTTTTCTTCATGATGCCATCTATGCTGTGAAGTGGACCAGTCCCTCCTGCAGCAAAACAGCCCCACAACATGATGCTGCCGCCCCCATACTTCACAGTTGTGATGGTGTTCCTAGGCTTGTAAGCTTTCCCCTTTGTCCTCCAAATGTAACACTGCTCATTGTGGCCAACCAGTTCAATCTTAGCTCCATCAGAGCACAGGACATGTCTCCAAAATTTTTCCCAGTATAATTTAGCAAATTGTAATTCTGGCTTTTTTGTTGATTTCCCCATGTTGTCACACAAGGAAGCAGTGTGTTTGAGGTTTTCCTTAAATACCATTCTACATTTGTGCCGCCAATTAACTGAAATGTTGTCAATTAGCCAATCAGAAGCTTCCTAAACCTTGATACATATGCTGAGTTCAGTGGCTAATCAGCCGGAATCACCTGAAGTGATGTGAGGGTGATCAGCGAGACCTAGCTGTCACTCAAGTGGCCACGCCCTTAATTATGTGGACTTAATAAAACCTAATATAAAGGAAACGGAACAGCTCTAAAAAACATTAACCCCCACCCCCAACCTCACGGTTGTCATGAAGGGTAATATTAGCTATATGCACCAAAGCCATCTTCACATCAGGCTGTAATCATTGCAGTCAGTAAACATCTGGAAGAGACATTTGATGAAATTAAAAAAGCAGACGCTTAATGAAATAAGTGAGTTGATCTTTGAGTGAAAAACTAACCTGTTTGTTCCTCTGGATCTTCCTGTTTGACTGTAAACGTTTCAATCTTCAGGTCTTCACTCTCCTCTTTAATAGACACCATCTCAATCAGCTCTCTAGTTCACTATCAGTGCATTGCTGAGGGAGCTTAGATCACCTAAGCAGATTAAAAACACTGTAAATTTCTCTCTACACATGGGAATATTCTGTAGTGTATTACAGTGTATAGTATTTACAACTCTGTTAGTGATTGTTTAGGCTCATAGTGAACTGATACACTGCAATAAATACTGCAGTTTAGTTTTTACTACAGTAAATATAGTTATAAAACACTTGGGACACTGTAGAGTATTTTTGTTTAGATTACCATTGGAGTTATATAACCACAGCAACTATAGAATAACTACAGATTGACTTACATATGGTTCAACAGCACTACATTCACTATAAGTAACTATACAATTTGTAAGGTGCAAATTTAATAAATATAAACGCAAACTATTAATTTTGACGCTATTTACGGTATAATGTAAATACCTGTGTTTATGATTATTATTCCACATTTTTAAAAACATTTGCAGATGAGTCGTATAACTTGTAACTCTGATGTTAACATTGTCGTTTTCTGTTTTTTTTTTTAAATTGTGTATTTTAACAATACAAACATATTAATCATAACAATAACAACAAGTAAATTAATTATAATAATATCAATAATAAAGTAAGATAATAAAAACAGAATACAGAGGCAAATTATTAAATAATATTTACAAAGTCACAGTTTTAAAACCTTTTTTTGTTGTAAACATTTTGGAAAGTAGTAATTAAATGATTTAAGTCACAACGAAAATTCTGCAACTTATGTCGAAAATTTACATTTGTGAATATAATATTTACCTCATAAAATAAATAAATTGCTTATTAAATAAAATGTTCGTCACAAGAAAAGTAACTAATTATATCATACATGGAAAAATCAATGGTAAAGTTACATTTTGATGAAAAATAAATTGGATAAACCACACCGAAACACATTAACATGTGGGCATTTGATCAAAAGAGGATCAATCGATTCACACAACTTGAGTAAGAATTACCGAATTTAGATACAATCTCAATTGTAGAGTAGATATTGTGTCGCACTTTTAACTTTGTGTATCATTCTTTAACTTTGTTGGGAACACAAAATTTGCAAGGTAAGAGCCAAGCTATTCTTTCCAATTAATTCGACCTATTAGAGAAATTTTCCCCGGGAGTGATTCTTTTCTTTGACTGAAACGCGTTTCTTAGATTTTTATTACTACATTTTAGGTCGTAAACGCATCTGTCTTCAACGAAAAACTTTGGTTCTTTTTTTAGTCACTTTAAATGGCAAGTGGCATTTCATTAAATGAGCAATGCCATTAGGTATGGCCTTAATCACAGTATGAAATTCTTTATGAATTATATTTAACCATAAAATCACCACATGAGTACACGTTCCCTTGAGGATCAAGTAAATCACAAAGATAGTATGTTTTTCATGCCAATTCTCATAAAAAATCGATGTATTCTTTACTAAGACGCTTTAGTAGTTCCATAGCTTCACTCTGTAAGGGGAGAAATTGCGAACGAAACATACTTTCCATGCTAAAAGAGCCTGTTCGCGAAATTTAGACAGTTTATAGAGAATTTGGATGGAGAAAAACTAAGTTAACACAAATTTGAGACCTACAATCTTTTTATAAATATTATGTGGGATAAAATACCATCGAATATGGTTTTTAATTCAATTTACTTTAAAAGTGTAATTGATGTCAAAACAAATCAATCTTGTCAAAACCACCATCAGCTTTCTTACCACAGAGAACGGACGTTTTTGATGTATTTACATTGTTTTAACCAGCGGATGACGTCAGCGCGCAGTGACTCGAAAACGAACTGAATCATTTTGAGACACAAATGATTCAATTGACTCGGAGTTTTGACAGCTCCGTTGCCTCATGTCTACTCGTCAGTGACTGAATTCATGTTTAATTACTAACATATTCACGACACAGAGAGAGAAATGAGGCGCGTTTATTTCGCCACTCACGTCCGCTTTATACTCGGAAAATATGTAATTTAAAGTGTTTAATGTTTTGAGTATTACAGTGCTACATTTAATGACAAATGTCTAACAAAAAGTCTTGTAAAAGTATCTATAACATTGACTGAATGTTCCTCTCATTTTATAAACCTTAAAAACGGCACACACCTTTTTCACAGACTGCAGAAACAGGAACGCGGAGCAGCTTTATGGCGTCACACGGCAATAACAAGATAAAAGTCACCTATAGGGAGACCCCCTCAACAAGATGGTAAACGCTTTGGGTGTATGGTCATACACAATGAGTGCATACATTATTGTTTCATTAGTATTTAATATTTATAATTTAATATATAATGTTTACCGAATGGTTTATTATTTTTGAATTTTTATATGTTTCTATTATAATCATTATACTTTAAGAAAAAAATACTTGACAGAATCAAAAATATCCAATACAAAAAAAGTGATATCCCATTAAAAAAAACAAAATCTAATCACAGTCTAATAATTCTAAAAATCTAAATCAGATCCTAAAGATAGTGGAAATTCCAATAAATTGAGTCATAATGGCCACAAATATTTAAAAATCCTATAGGACAAAGTGAAATGCCTATTAAAAAAATTCTGAATGTCCATTGGAAATTTAGGAAATATTTAGGAAAGGATAAACTGAAATTCCAATAGGATTTTTGACAAGGGTTAGATTACACTGGTATAAAGACATAGTACGACAATTATTCTAAGGGATTAACCACAAAGTCTCCAATACTATTTTAAGTATTCTCAGAAAATAATACAAAATTACAGAGTATTTGAAATTCTCAAGATGAAAAACACCATCTTGGTATTAAACGAATGGAAATCCTTTATTATATACAGTGTTGGGGAGGTTACTTTGGAAATGTAATAGATTACAGATTACAAGGTACCCCATTTAAAATGTAATAGTGTACCATTTTAATTATTTTATAAAAGTAAAGTAACTGATTACATCTGATAACTTTCTGATCACTTTCAAGTTTTCAATGAATGTTTTCATTTCATTCACTGTTGGAATTTTCAACATCGTTCATCACTTGAATTAAGTTTATATTAATTATGTTGGCTTGAAAAAGCCAAATTTGGCCAAAAGCTGTATTTAGATGCGGTAGATTTTGTTGCTATATCTTTAACGTTTATCAGACTTATAGTTTTCCAATAAATAATTTTTAAGCATTATTTTTCTCAAAATATGGCAAGCCATTTTTTACTTAAACTCCATATTTTTTTACTGATATGGCAAGCCATATTTGCATGTATCACCTTTACACTTATTAAGCATTGTATTTTCAAAAAAATACGGCAAGCCTTTTTTACATAATGTTCATTCCCTTAGTCCCTTTATTAATGAGGGATCGCCACAACGGAATGAACCGCCAACTTATCCAGCATTTGTTTTACACAGCGAATGCCCTTCCAGCCGCAACCCAACACCAGGAACACATAATGTTCAAGTCCAGTTTTTGACACTCATAAAGACTGTCATAGAAACATCGGGGTTGATTAAGATCACTCATATTGCCAAGAAGCTTTGATGTATCATCACTAACCTGTCAAATGTCCCCATAGCAATAAAACAGTATAACCTGTCAACCATTTAAAAATAGCAATATCACTACATCAGAACATCGTAGGGACCTGGGCATTGGCTCGTTTGACTCATGCTAGCAAATGGGACTTCCTGTGTACTATGCATGGCAACAATAGTAATGGAAGCCAAGTGCTAATAACAATTAGCTACATGCTATGAATGATTATCTAAATGCAATAACATATGCTATTAGCATTTGATCAAACATGTACACGAGCATTGCTATTTAGCAACTGCTTAGCAACCACCTAACAATGCCATAATTGTTTTAGCAACTGCCTAGCAACCACTTAGCAACCGCCGTCGTGCTTCCTGCCAACTGCCATTCCCAGTCCTAGCGCAGTCACATTGGCTTTCTCAAGCCAACATCAAAGTTTATCAATAAACTTTAGGTTCTAGTTTAATTTTAAAGTACAGCTATCTCAAAACCAGACCTTAGAACAAAAAAAAGTTTACTGTTGTTACAAAATCTAAATTTTAGTTAGTTGTGTGGCATTTACCATAAAAAAACATAAAAAATTTTTTAGCAATTTTCATTTATAAAACCGGAGCAACTTCAACCTGAGCCGTTTGTTGTCGACCGCCAAAAAACAGGCAGAAGAAGTCGTCATTCTCACCATCATATAGATTTTCTTTCATTGTATGAACACCGGCCTCACAGCTCCGTGAATGTCGGTGCCATTACTTACTGATCTGCGATCAGTAAATATAGCTCGTGTGGACGCTACTGCGCTACTTGACTAATAAAATAGCTTCGCTACTGAAAAGCTATTTGATTGATATAGTAGCTATGCTACTGCCGTGCTAATGATTAATGTAGTTAAGCTAGTAGCCAGTGCATTCAGCGGCAAAGAAGATTAACGTAATTGGTAGTTATGGTGCACCACAAATTCAAACCAGAAAACGAATGGCCCTAGCATCGTGCATATCAAAAACAGGCAAAGCAACAAATTAATATTATTCATGCCAGATTTTGAAAAAATATTTTAAGATGTAATCTTTAACATTTTTAAAAGTAACTGTAATTTAATTTCACATTTTTTCTCAGTAACTTTATCGAATTACTGCTACGTTTATTTTGTAATTAAATTACGTAACGCCGTTACATGTAACTAGTTACTCGCCAACACTGATAGTAAGACGATTAATTCCAGGGGAGAAACCACAAAGTCTCCAATACTATTTTAAGTATTGTCAGTAAACAATACGAAATTCTCGCAAAAAGAAAACCACCATCTTGGTTTTACAAACGAATGAAATTCCTATATTAAAAATAATAAAAATAAAGTCGTTTATAGTTTGAAGATCAAAAATTGCATTCAAAGTTGTCGTGAAACTATTGAACGACATACATTCTTGGCTAATTTTGAAAAGAAAATCGTATATTCGACTTCAAATGTTGGCTACTGTGCATTGCTCTAGTTGGGACGCAGGGCCGGATATAACCAATAAATGAGGTAAGCAGCCACTTAGGGCCCCTGGGGAATTAGGGGTCCCAGACCAATGCCAAAAAAGCCTAAATTAATCACATAGCTGTGTGTTTCACATTTTCTGTCATGATGTAAAATCTGGCTATAACTGTTAAGATTTCAAAGTTATTATTTCTTTTCAAAACTGGGGGCCCCCATGAATAATGGAACGTTCCGTTCCGTACTGTACCTGTGCGAGTTGTGAGTGCAGCGCTTCAATCAAAGACACTGCCAGCCAGAGTTGCCAACTTAGCGACTTTTCAGACCCCCATAGCGCCAAATTTTTAGAAAAAGCGACTAGTGAATGTTTTTAGGTGTTACTGGAGATTTTGGAGACTCGTGTCTGTGCTGTACCGTTCCTAACATTACTCTTTGCCATAGATATATACACTAGATATCGCATAGGGACCCTGAGCATGCGTCAATAGCGCCGCCACATTGGTACAGTGCTCCCAGGACAAATGTCATTCAACTGCACTAGTCAAGACAGTGTTATTACGTGAAGATGCGGGACTTTAGCTCTGTGTACGGGTGTAGTAACGAGCAAACAAAGAAAACAATGCACAAAGGCAGAACATTCCATAGGTATTACTACGTTTTTTTTCTGTTTTTGTATGTTCTGAACTTTTATGCTAATCAGGTAACGTTATTGAGGATAACAGTCACTTACTGCATTCACCATACGGCAAAGCAGCTCCAACTCGCACTAAACACTCGGCTTATGCTAGTTTTGTTGAATAAAGTCAGCAAACAATGCAAAAGAAATATGACAACGAGTAGCTGCGCTGCCAGAAACGTATTACAGTCGGCTAGTGAAAGAGTCGTTCGGGGGATTCATTCACAAATGAATCGCTCCCTCCGTAAGTATGAGAAGTGAAAGCAGGCGAGGAGCTGTGTTTCAGGACATGATTTGATCAAATTTAACAGGGAGGGTGGATAGTACATTTCTGTACACACAAACACAAGCTTTTTGTCAGGAATACCAGTGCGGTCAGTGATCCATCAATGTAGAAAAGTGATGTAAAATTATAATTTTCGTAATTAGAAAAAAAAATTACGTACTAACATCCAGGACAACTCCCGATCATAGATATATGTGTATATCTCTTGCTTTGGATAGCCACTGTCCTCCACTGTACCTTGGTCCCGCATTCATTTCAAAGGAGCGCTACCCTGTACCAAGATGGCGGCGCTATTGACGCATTCCGTCCAATAGACAACCAGCCAGGCGACATCTAATGTATATATCTATGACTCTTTGCAACAAGCTGCAGGTGATGCCTCAGAGCACTCAAAGGCGACACCGTGCCACACAGCCGTCTCTCACACCTCCAGCATTGGGAGCAGATTATTCCTCTGCATAGCGACGGCAAATGTTTCAGCGCCGTGAGCGTGAGGTATTCATGTTTTTTTATTTATTACTATTAAAATCTTATCACAAAATGGCTAAATAACTGTACATTGGGTGCTCAAACTCGGTCCTGGAAGGCTGGTCTCCTGTAAAGTTTAGCTCCAACCTCAATCAGACACACCTAGGCTAGCTAACCAAGCTCTTACAAGGCTTTCTGAAAACATCTGTGCAGGTGTGTTAAAGCAAGTTGGAGCTAAAATCTGCCGACATACCTGCCAACACTGCCGTTTTTCACACCAAATCTCCTGCCACCCTCCCACTTTGTTATTTCTCCCAGCAAACTCTGGTAATTCCCCCACCCATGGGCATTTAGTGGTTTTATTATGGTAAATGTCCACATTAGTAGACTTCAGAATCACATATCCTTATATTTCTCCCTCATAAGGTGATCAGAATCCACATGTCTGAAAGTGTTTTGAACTAAAATGGTTTTAAATTTTGATGACAGTCGGTAGAGTGATAATCAAACATGAGGAAAGAGCAGCAGAGCTGATCGTCTGCAGATTCAGGTAAGCTCCTCCTGTGTTCATGTCTCTCCAGGCCTGCTTCGGCTCAGTGTTTCCATCAGATAAACACCCTGAGGAAGCCCGGACGAAGCCTGATTAAGTCTGTGGAAGAGCAGCTGACACACTCTCTGTAGAGAATAGTTAAAACAAAGCAGTTTCTCATTAGTTAATGACATAGCATATCCGGAGTAATGGTTATTATAGATACTGATATCTGGTTCTTCTTTTAACAAAGTTTAGATTCCCAAAGACAAAAATTG